CTGTCTCTTATACACATCTAGATGTGTATAAGAGACAGGCCGGAGGGGGGGAGTGGAAAGGCGGGAGGTGAGGCTTAGCACGAAGCACATCGTCAACCCGCTATTTCGCATGCGCTTTACAACGCTGTTGCTCTTCAAATTCAACGATATCTGTTTTTTATGATGTTGTGTAAGGACGTCTTCGTGCGTCCGACTGCTATCCTTCTTTTGAGAACACATTTTTTTGTCGAGTACATGATACGACTGTCATGCATGTCTTCTGCACTTCTTTGCGTTTGCTAAAGTCAGTCGGTGAAGCTTCGTTGTTCCACTAACGACTTACATGCAGTAAAAAAAAAAAATGAAAGAAAAACTCATGACGGATTGGTTATTTCGGCAGCTGCGCGGTGAACTTCCTTTGAATTTTTTCATTTTATTTTTGTAATTCGCTTCCGTCAGGTGCCGTCGATCATCACGATTTAGCACTGTCATTATGAACGGAAAGATGACCAACAAACATAAAAAGATGACAATCAAAGTGCGTGGATAGGTTCCTTCCTGTTTTCATTGTTTTCTTTTGTTTTCTCAAGTGTCGATGATGATAACGATGGCGTGATTCCTAAGATCGAATGAAGGGCCGCATACATAAGAAGACGTGGACGAGAATGCGATGGCCACTTACGCATGCGACACATGATAAACCCACATAGAAGACAAGAAAAACAGTCTTGCGTGAGCAATCGTAAGCATGCAAACACACGCCGTCGACACCGAACCATAAATGTGAGGAAATCCATTCAATAAGACAACAATGTTCAGGCGACGATCCACTTTTCTCCTGGCTATCCACCCTCCAAGCGGCCCACACAAAAGACGGAGGTGTCGTCCACTGAGCTAAGATACCCTTTTGTGGAGCACAACTGTACAGTGTGCTCCAATCACAATAAAGAAGGGAAAAAAAAAAAAAAAAAAAAAAAAAACATTCACAACACATCTACTTCGACGCCATCTGCTGACGTCGCCACGCCGTTGGACCGCGCACCTCCCCCCGGCTCAACCACCAACACCCGCCAACACCCATCCCGCACGTGCACTAACGTCTGCAGTTGAAGACGCACAGTTCGTCGTTTCCTGATCCCACGCGCCAATCCGTCGACGATCCGCACCCCCCCGCTGCCTTATGGACGAACCCACGTGTCAACTGCCCTCATCTCCATTGTCGTCTGACGCTGGCCCGCTGTCGATCCAGCCGTGTTTTGCGGCTTCCGCTGCATTTTTCAGGGCCGCGTTGTGCCCGAACACCAACCCGCAACCAGACCATTCCGGGATGCAATGCGGGTAATTTCCCAGCGTCAGGTGGGCCTTCCCTAGACGATCCAAGACGAGGTTGGCTGTGTCGACGATGTGTCGCCTCCAGTTGAAGATGTACGACTTCGCCGCTATCATTGTGGGTTTGGCGACCATGGACGCATAGAACCACGCCTCGTAGTGCGAACGGTCGTCGTCACCACCCATGCGCATGATCCACATGCACGCGCTCAACAACGCTCGAAGACAATCCGCAAGCCATGACAACCTCTCCTGTTTCACGCGCCCACTGTCCGCCCATTGTCCGTACCAGACTGCATCTGTCCAGCAGTCCACCAAGCGAAGAACTGTCGCCTCCTGCCGCGCCACCATGTCTTCGTCTTCCGGTCGGTCCACAATCTTCACCCTTGCGAACCACAGAGGCACGTCCATCTTCATCGCCAACGTGTGGTAAACGAGGGCAGGGGAAACCACTTTGGACCATTCAAATCCCTGCCAAACTGCTCGTGCGATGTCTGTAGCGAAGTCGGCGGTGATGTACGACTCTGCACGAGCGAAGCCCGTAGATCTCGATGACGATTTGAAGATCTAACCGTGGATGGTGCGCAGCACCAGTTTCTCCACGTTGAGCGCTCTACGCAGAGATGGTTCATGTTGTGCAGGGTCCTTGATCTTGAAGCGCGAGACATCATTCGGCGACATTATGAGCATCGAAGGCGGTTTAGCTCCTGCGTCTCCGTTGGCGATGGAGACGAAGTAGTCCGCTCAGTCGCCTACCTCCTCCCTCAAGGGTTTCCCCAGGCCTTGACCCCAGAAAGCGTCGTAATCAACCCACAACTTCGACCTCTCTTCGAGATCATCGTCCTTTGCCGCTCCCTTCAACCTTGTAACAAGTGGACGGTCGTGGTCGTCATCGCCCTCCTGCTTTCCATCTCTTCTCCCATCGTCGCGGCGGACGTCGTCGACCCTCCCCTCTTCCGCACCTTCGGCGAGTCCGCTTTTGGTACTGTGATCCGCCGCCGCCGTTCGACTGCCGCTCGCAGTCGCCTCGCCCTTTTGCACGGACGGTGTTTTCCCTCCCCTTGAAGCCCCGGCCGGTTGCAGGGGGAGTGGCTGGCGTGGCTGAACCTGGCCTACCACTGTCGGAAGTTGCCTCGACACTCGCGCCTCAGTGATGACAACCCCTGCCGCCTTCGGGGTCCTTGGCAACGCCTCGACAGACCAACGACGATGCTCTGTTTGATAGCGGACAACTGTTCCCTCGAAACTCCATCCGGCCCAAAACCCAATCGCATCGCCCCCGCCTTCCCTTGCGCATCCACCATCAACACTTCGTCTGCCTGAAAGTCGTCTGTGTGTTGGGAGCTGGCCTCGTCAGCGCGCTGCCTTTTCGACTTTGGCACGTGGCCTTTGCCTTTTTGGGTTTCCCCTCCCTCCCCTACTCCGCCATCTTTCCTGCCCTTCCCTGACGCGCTCCTCGGGGCCATCTCGTCCACAACTCGGAAACAACGAACACGTGAACGAAGGAGGACGTGGATGAAGGAGCACGTGGACGAAGGCCTTGTGGAGGTCGGCGACGGGCACGTGGATGAAGGAGCACGTCGATGATGCGCACGAACGGGCACTGGCCGTGGAGCCGCGACAACGATGGCGATCGAAAAAGAGCACGTGGACGAGGGAGGACGTCGAAGAAGGAGAACGTGGACGAAGGAGCACGTCGACGAAGGAGCACGTGGTTGATGGGCCTGAAGAGGCACCGGCCGCGGAGCCGTTTCTCCGATGATGGCGGCCACAAAGGAGCACGTGGACGATGCGCATGAAGGGGCACTGCCCGCGTAGCCGGAAGCAGAAGCATGGAGCGACGAAGCGGATGTGCGGGCGTGCGACGATGACTCGGTGCCCAGACGCTACCGTTGAAGCCGTGGGAATTCAATCACTGCGGTACGGAATGGCGCCCAGACTCTCCTTTTGTACATAGCGTGCTCTCGCAGAACACCATGGACACGCCTCGCCGTCCACAATAGCCCGCCCCTTCGCCGATCGTGCACGGACCATTTTCCCTGCCGCATGCTGGTGATCCCTCGCATGGCCAACAACGCATGTGGGCGTGCATGAGGACCCCGAGGAAGGTCGAAAGAGCCCGCCACCCCCAAAAACTCGAGGCACCCCTGTCCGCCATTTTCCCCTCCCACCCGAAAAACACACCCTGCCACCTATTCCTTCTCCAACACCCCCAAAGAAGACCCTAACAGATCGACATCCATGCGTGGCGGCAACGCCTCACAACAACAGCCAGTAAACAAAATACAAAATCGGAGGACCTACTGTACAACCGAAGGACGCGCCGCAGGGCATGACAGCAATGAATACCCTTCGCAGACATTAAACAAATCCACGCTTAAATAAACTGTTCGGGCAAAAACGACCCGCGGTCTCTACACCACCTGCCCATCACCGCACTGCAGCACGCAGGACGACGGCAACGGCGATGCTCCAGAACTGCACACGTGGCAATCGCGTGGATGTCGGACATGTGTGGCCGAGCGACGTTAGGATTGCTCGCAGATCGCTTTAGCAATCTCCAGAAGGGCGTTGCACATCATGAAGTTCGCCTCGTCGGCGTTCACGTAGTGCTCCTTCTGCACTTCCAGCTCTCGCTCGAGAATGTCGCATTGCCTCGTCTGAATTGAGCACTGCCTCTTGCTCGCGCTGTCCACCGTCGTCGCCATCAGATTCCCGTGCTCCTTCATGATGTCCACAATTGTGTCGAAGGTCTGTTGTCTTACATTCTTGCGTTTGCCGCCCCCGCCACCGCCACCGCCGCTGAAAGTTGAATCCCTCGTTGATCCCTGATCGTCGTCCAGTCCATCCCCGCATCCCTCACTACCGCCGGATTCATTCCGACCTCCACGTGGGCCGGCCATTTGAACAACTCCAGCTGCACCCGTGTCCGCGAGATTCGTGGGGTGTATAGTGTGATCGCCCCTGGACATGGTCGTCATCTCCGAATACACACGCTCATCCATCTGAAAGTCGAATCCCCTTTCCTTCCTCTCCCCCGACGTTAGTGTGAAGAAATTAGGCTTCCCCGATTCTCCCATGAACTTGTGCACGGTTTTGAACTGCGGGTACAGGTTGTCCCATCTTCTCCCGCAGTCCACGACATTTCTACTCGTCACCCCCATCTGCACGAGCCTCTTATCGATGTCGTCCCACTTCCATGTCTTCGTCTTCATCCTTCCGCTGTCGTGCCCCAATCCTGGTCTCTTTTAGCTCGGATCAGAGCAATCATGTGCTCCACGGTCGAAAAATCCTTGCTTTTTTATCCCTCGCCTGCCGACGTATCTTCCACACCCTTTTTGCCTCTCCGCCCCGCGCGCGGTTCTGTACACTTGTTTCTGGCCCTTGACCCTCCCCACTTCCTCCCTACAGGACGAATCTCCATCTCCCCGTCGTCGTCCTAGTCGTTCTCATTGGCCCCATCATCTGCAGCGCAATCATCGCCCCCTGCACCATCGTAATCGCCGAAGTTATCGTCTGCCCCTACATTAATCTTCGCTACCCCTCTCGTTATGTCGGACGTGCTGGCTTCACACGATTGTCGCCGATGATCATCCCAAACCTTTCGTCCCACGACCTCCGCAGCGGAGCACTCGTCGTCGTCCCGTCGACCGTCAATTGTGCCGCCTGGTGTAGTCGATCCACAGGGACCCGATCCACTTGTCCTCGTCCTCGACGCGGCCTCACCTGTTGTGCCCACTGCCCCCCGCCTTGGCGGAAAGAGCCCACGTTCGTTGCCCGGCTGACCAGAACGCCAGGCGCGGTTATCCGGAGGGCCCAATGCCCTCACTGAAGGTGTTGTGTGGTTGGTGCCAAAAGTTGGGTTCATGAGAACGGTGTGCGTCACGTCCTCGACACTACCAGACCTCAAACCGAAGCTGAGATTTACGAGTCCTACGTCATAACCAACCAGGGTCCGCCCCTCCAGCAGATCAGTGTACGTCGACGTCGATGCCTGTCTGCACAGCTGGGTCCCCATCTAATCCTGCGTCGAACCGCTGCCCAGAGGAACCGTTGAGGATCGGGGGTCGTCGCCCTCATCGTCACTCGGAGGCAACGGAATCTCGTGGGACGAGAGGTCACTGTACAACGTTGGGTCGCACGACCGCTTGCCGCCTTCCGTACTGCTGCAACGCTGACGTGACGACCCCCCATCCCGTACGGGCAGCGTGGTCTTCGTCGGTACCTTCTCCATCTTCCCGCCCCTCTTCGGCATTCGCCGTGTCTGTTTCCTCCCAGGGACGCGACCTAGGAAGCAGATATGAAAGACGACAATGTCAAGCAGCAGCACAGCGACGAGCACCAACAAAGGGAGCCTGCGGTACAGGTCAGCCATGAACGACAGGGCAGCCGAGACAGAACACGCACTTGTGTTGTCGCAATCGTGGCGACCGGAGACACATGTTGCAAGAGGGAAGACGCCAACGTACGAAATTGCTGCAAGCAACGGCTGGGGGAGCACGCTTACAAAATCCGTATTTTCAACCGTTGGGAAGCCCGCGGGAACGCCAGGACCCCTCCACGAGCCGCCCGAAGACGTCTGACGCTCGCCACGGCACCACCGTGGGGCCGCCCGACGAACCGATAGGGTCGTACCGCCAATCACCGCCAACGGTAAAACGACGAGGCCGTTCGTGGACGTTTTGGACGAGGACGGCCCGCGATGTCCGTCTTCCGGACGGTGGACCACCACTAGACCACCTTCGACCTCCATTTTCCCTTCTGGACTCGTCTCCGACACCCCGATAATCGCGGATCCTCGGGCTCCAAAGGACCTCGCGAGGTCCCTTGGAGCCGAGGACAATTTGGCTGGGAAATCCTCGGAGCCCAAGGATTTGTCCTCGGAGTGTTTTCACATTTCTGTTCCGAAAATCGGCTCCGAGGACAGGAGGAACGACGATGGAATCCTCGGAATTGCATCCCCAAGGAGTGTCGAACGGCGCCCTAAGTATGCTACCCCTTAAGGAGCATTGGCCGCGGGGGGAAGGTCGATGCTCCACTGCGCGCCGGATTCGGATGAAGTTTTTGTGAGGCGTGCCGGATGAAGGCGAGGCGGAGGGAGTGGGTAGAGGGCCCGGCGTACCAAAATGTTCACAACGCGTCATTAAACGAGAGAGTTTTGCCCCGGGGGAGGGGCACACGTACGGTGGGCGTTGTGTGGAAGACCATCTCGGAGGAGAGCACTCCGATATGTGTGGGCGCCGTGGCCCGTTTGTTTGTTTGTTTGTTTGTTTTTTCGTTTTCGCACGTCGTTTTGTATCGCCGACATTCTTTTCTTTTTTTCTTTTGCATTTCCGCGCGTCGTTTTGTGTTCCTTTTTTTCTGGAGGGGGGTTCGCATGTCATTTTTTTTTTCGTTCTTTTTCCCTGGCGGGTGTTGTTTTGTGCCTCATTTGCCCTTTTCATTTTTTTGTTTTTGCGTGTTGTTTTCTGCCCTTTTCCCTTTTCTTTTTCACCGTTTTTTTTTTTTTTTTTTTTAATTTATTTTCATGTCAATCATCGTTCAGGGCCAGGTCCTCTGCCCCTTGGGTGGTAAGAGCCCCAGAGGGTAGAGGCCGGCATGGTTCCGATGGCTCCTTTCTATTGGTGGGGAGCTGCACCTGCTGGAAACCGGGTCCAGCGTTCCTTCCAATGGATAAATCATCAAGTAACTTCTCAAAGTTCAAAAACTCTCTGGGTTATCAGCGAAAAAAGGGGACCTCTTCGCCCTAAGGCGCCTAAAATGAGTTAGCATCTAGTCCCACTACCACTGTACCCAGACATGTACCAACGAATTCTGAGGATCAATAAGTTATGCAGTTAGCTTGACAATTGAAGACTAGCCCCTAGATAATGAACAACATAACCTGAGCAAGCATATCCTTTTGGCAACTGCCTTTGACTCTATCAATAACACTTTCACCGTTTTTGTGCGTGATGTTTTTTATTATTTATTATTTTTTATTTTTAAGTTTTAACTATGCTATATTTTTCTCTCAAATCTTTCATCATCATCTTTCAAATTATTTCAATCCACTTTCACTACGGTGTCTGCTTTTATCAACACCACTAACACTGATGGGGGCGTGTTAAAAAAAAATAAAAACTTTCACTACCACTACTCCTAAGGCTTATACAGGGGCCCCCTGGAGTATGGTCCCACTAGCAACGGGATAGGATAGAAATGAGTCCGTGGGGGGGCAGTTGAGTGACCCAAATCCTGCCGTGCAGTACTTGCGATCCCACGGTCAGTATTTTACACGTATTACCCAAAAAAATAAGCAGATCTTTGTTCCCCTCCTCCTCTCCTTAAACCACCTATACTTGGCCCATACATCGGCCGCGGGGCGTTGCCGTTAATGCCCCGCAACTTCTGGAGGCTTGGGGTACTGGCCCTCAAAGGCTGGCGCCGCTAGCCAAAACAATTTTTTTTTGTTTCACTGGCGGGTCGGCGCGAAATGGTGCGCAGCCCGTTTTCAGCCTCGGCATCGATAGTTGGGCCAAGAACTGGTGGTTTAAACCACCAGTACCCCGCCCTGCAAAAAAAAAAACGACCTCCTGAATTCAAGGAGGTCCCAAACAGGCCCGATATAGGCTTGGGGGAGACTCGGACCTCTTCCATTTTGGAATCGAAGAGGGGTTGGGTAGGGGGGGGGGCGATTTCGTCCGAAATGAAAGAAAGGCAGAGGGCGGGAAAAATGAAGAGAGAAACGAATCACCAAAAAAAAAGAAAAATGCAACAAAAAAGAACACGAAAAAAAAAGTAACGAAGAGGGAAGTGTCCCGTTTGGCACACATGTTTGGCGGCGGGAGCAGGGCGGTCGCCGGTGCATGAGAGTGGTTGGTCGGCCGTTGCTGCGCCCGTTGCCACAACGACCACCAGCAACCGCACCTTCCCCCTTCGCTTCGGCGTACTCCCCTCTTGCAAGTTGCTACCTTGGTGTCACGTTCACCGTTCCGTTCACTGTGCGGTGTGTGTTGTCGAAACTGCAGTGAGTGATGACCATAGCGCTGATGATGTGTGTGTGTGTGTGTGTGTGTGTGTGTGTGTGTGTATGTGTGTGTGTGTGTGTGTGTGTGTGTGTGTGTGTGTGTGTGTGCGTATGTGTGCGTGAGAGCGG